AGACTGAGTGCGAGCAGAGGGAAGTCCGAGAGCAAGTCGAGCCAGCGCTGCCAGAGAGGTGGCACGCGGCTGGCCGCGGGCCGGGCGCGGGCTTAGCGCGACCTTACCGCGGCCTTACCGCCAGCTCGCCGAAGCCTGGCTACGGGATGGCACCTTGCTGACGCCGGCCTCGCACTAGTCTGACACGGGGGTGACACTGGGGTGACCCGGGAGTGACACCGGAGTGACACGAGACTGTCGGCGACCCGAGCGCGGGCTGAGCGTGAGCTGTCGTTACGTCCAGCGACGGCTGAGCGATAGGCGGTCAAAGCTCGGGTCATTAGCTTAAAAAGTGGTGCGAAACTACTCCCCTTGGGCTCAGTGGGTTGAGGGATTAAAATTGAAAGAATATCCACATTTTGTTCTACTCGTGTTCATTGTTATTAGGAGGTATTGACACATACATTTTTGACTCCACAACCATCTTAAAGCAAACAGTAACCAAACTGTGAACAGGTAAAATATCAATGTTGTTGACAGTTTCAACTGAAAATACTGAAGATATAGATAGGTTCAATGCATTGATTTTAAAACAATAGTCTGGTTCAAGACGCTGCACGACAGCATGAAACTCTGCCTCACAATTGCATAGCTCAACACAATCACAAGATGTAACACGTACAAAACATTTCACAATACCAACACACAAATCACTGTTTAATTTATACAAGATGCGTGATGAATCTTTGAGAAACCCCCTATCATAATCTTCAGCTACATACAGCATTTTATGTTTCAATAACCGAAGGAAAAAAGAAAAGTTTGTACCTTGAAAAGTAGTTGCAGTTTGGAGAGCATCAGTAAAGATGGGAGGCAAAACATGAATTTTTTTTAAGGAACCAACAATACACATGTGATTGGAAATGTTCTCAGTTATGGGGTATTTTGTTTTTGACATTAAATTTAGACAAAAGTCTTGAACTGTTCCAGGAGACAGATTTTTTACTAATCCAGGTAAATGAGACAGTAGTCCTAAATTTGATTGAATCTGTAACCCAGCATGACGGGTCCCATGAACTAAACTTGCCAGTTGTCCATTGAGATTTTCAAAACTGAAACAAGATGTAACCCAAAGGGGCCCATGACAAGTAACAACCTGCCACAGATGACTCAAACAATGGAGATTATAAGACATATTTCGAATCCCATACAGTTCTTGAAAATCTTCAACAAATTTACTGAGCAATACTTTTGACATATTAACATCTTCAGGAGAAACACTGTCCTTGTTCAACAAATAAACACCCACAACAAGTAGTTTAAAATGCTCAAAGTATTTTTCTGTCATACACTTTTGCAGAACTGGTAAGGCATAGTGAAAGAGCCATGATCTTAGCTCAGATGCCTTGAAATGTTTCAGATGCTCAAAAGACCGAGGTATTCTCTGAATAAAGTGCGGTGGTCTAATCTTAACTAGTAAATTACTCAATGTAATAATGATGTTCTTAATGTCAGCATTTGCACCAAACACTTTCTTTACAAAATTAGTACTAAACCAGAGGAAAAATAATTGTCTAACACAGCCAAGATAAACTGCATGCATCACATCAAGCGCTGTTGAAGTCAAGAAAAATGGTGTAACAATAAGTTGCATATAACTGGGACCATAAATACCAAAGTGGGATTCTCCTGTATCTCTGACAAGCTGTAGGTGATTGGTATAATTTTCTGAGTTTCTGGCTTCTACATTTTCTTCGAATGGAAATACCATTACCTTATCAGTTTCATCACCTCTTTGCCTTACAATTAAACAATATGGACACGAGTAATAGCCTGCATGCCCTTTCATTCTTAAAAATATTGACCGAGCAGGAGAGTCACAAGTTCCACATATGACAAAACATTGAACAATTAAAGAGGAAGAGTCTGGGAGAGTGACTTCAATCCCAGAAGACAATTGTTTTAGTTCCTCATAAAACGGTTCTAACAGTAAATTGGATACTGGCTTTTCAGAGCCAAATGCAAGCCCTACCAAAATCATGTTTTCTTGTCTGCACCTGAGATGGGGAGGGAGCTCATTGATACATAAATATAGAGGCCATAACTGGAAGTTGGAAGATTTGTACAAGGATATGCCATCGGTATTCCAAGTAAAAGATATGTTATTAGGGTTTGCTAAGTATGTTCTTAAAGCCTCCTGATAAATTTCCCCGTCATAAATATCCTCATAATTATTACAATTCTTTTTTACTCTCTTAGATCTGTACAACAATAAATCCCTGAATCCAGGTCTTTGGTACAGAGACTTAAGTTGTTGCTCTACTGGAACACTGATGTAATATGCTGCTTTTGAGTTTGGTCCACATGCACACACACTATCACGAGAGGCAAGTTTGCCATGACACGCATTGCAATAGAACCCGTGAAACTTTCCAAGTGTATGTACCATGTGTGACAGACATGTAAGTCACCATACGTTTTGGTCTTGTATGTCCCATACGAGTAACATGTATGTGTAATACATGTGCCGTGCGAGTTCCATGTATGTTATCCATATGTCCATCCAAATTGTAAATTGGGGTAGTTTTTCACCCCTCACCCCCCTTGCCGCCAAAATTTGATTTTTTTATGGGACAATGTGGTATTTATCAAGTATTAGAACATATACGTTAACACTTGGAAACAGTTTTAACTCTAAACTTACTTTGAAACCGACGATGTTGTGGAGATTCGAACCCACGCCCTTTGGATTGCGAACCCAGTGTGCTGACCACTAGACCACTGTGCCGCGCCTGTTCGGTTTGCGCAGATGTACGGTCTTAAGCTACATACGTACACTATATATGGTACATGTATGAGACACACATGGTATCAAATTACGATGTATGTTTTTGTCTGTTCTACCGTCATCACTAAGAAACATATGCCCTACACATGCTAACGTTTTCACGGTTAAATCACATATAATTCGCCAACTTATTTCGCTAAGTGTTCATTATCACGCATCTGCCACTTGTTGCGACATTTCTACCATACATGGGATTGGTGTGTTGACTCATGATGCATATATGTACATAACTACGAAACGGGTGTTCCCTACATGAGCCCTATGCCATGTGCCGGAAATCCATCGGCGACGCATGTATGTAAAAGTCAGCCATACATGTCACCAAGAACTATATATGAAACATATGAACGTCTGACACGTGTATGTTACCAAAAGGTATGGCGAGTGCAGGCGACATACAAGTATCATATGTTTCGTATGGTGTACATGTATGAAACATACCTGGGACTCACATGTGCCACATATGACAACGGTTTCACGGGAAAATAAAGTTCATAGGAGTTTTTATGTCCTCAAATTGTTTGTGAAACTGATAAGTAGTTGACCAGAAATTGTTTTCTTTGGGTAGATGGAGCTTAATTAATTTTAGAACTCTTGCAAGATCTTGGCCACTCATTTCACTGTTCAGAGCAAATGTTAGAATTGCTGCAGCACTTTCACTTTCACTTATTAGAGCACCTGGATACAACGGATTGTCTGTAGGACTTGAAGCCTCATAATTTTGTAGCTGCTCAGGTTCTAGTGTCTCTATATTATCCTCTTGCACAGTGGAAGAGAAAGTTAGATCATCTGCAGCATCAAACCAGACATCTTGTTCCCTCTCTTCCGGAAGTTCCCAATTAACACCTGAATAAAAATTATATAGTGAGTAAAAAAGATAAATACCAAATAGTGAATTTAGATGAAAGTGTTACTTACTTTCAGAAAGTATGGCAGCAGCTATTGAGGCTGAAGCATCAGGTAAGACCCATTCATTCTCTGTTGCAGAATGCTCCAAATCTACTGGAAAATATATGTATTTAGAACTTAAGTCAATTGAGCTCCACATTTAGAACAATTTATGTCATCATTACGTACAAGTGATTACTTACATGTTGGGTTTACTAATTGATTATCAAAACTCATAGAGTCATTGGCAGTCATCTCTATATCAATATCATCACCTAAAATAAAAAAAGACAAATTAAATCATGCAATTGAAAGAAGTGCCAAACTGTGCATTAACACACCCTGGAATAATGTACCACTAATGTATGAAGGTTCTTCAGGTGAATCAGAAGCACTATCATGCCTGCTCAAGTCATCAGAAATAACTGCTGGTGCTTCTGGGTGTTCCATTTCCTTTCTTGAAGGAGAGGTCTGAGTGAGAGGATGAACTAAGAGATCAAAAAACAGAACATGTTACACACAAAAAGAAAAACATTTAACTTCATGTGCTCAAATTAATAAATTAAATACTTACTCATATGATGTGTAAATGTTTCAAGATTAATAGCATTGGTAACCTCCAAAGTTCTCCCAACTGTCTCAGGAATGTAGCAAGTTTCTGTTGACTCAATTTCAGGGTAAACATAATTTGACGCAAGATCTGTAAGAAATAATATATTCAATTAAATGTTCTAAATTTTGTGAAATTTAATTTTAAGCAATGAAGCACATTAAGTAAGGAAATTCTTACCATCCCTTTCATTTAATATGACTGCTGTGGCTCCTGTATGCAATGGCATAGATATAACTGATAGAGCTGAAAACAAACAGTTTTACTCAATTATTACAGTAAGTACAAAATAAGTCACAAAGTGTAATTGCTAACTTACAGTGACATTCAATATCTGCCACATAATTGTGATCTGGGGAGTTACTAGTTCCAACATCATGAGAGGTTACATATTCTGAGAATCAAAACAAAGTAAGAAAACGTTCGGCAAACATAGGAATAATTGTAGTGACAGACTGCAAGTACCAATTGTATGAGCTCCAGACACATTTGGGAATTCCGATGACAACTCGAACCTGCACGATAAAAAGCATATTAAAAGCAGGGTTCACACATCAAATATTAGGTTAGCCAACACCCATGGTTCTCATACAAACCTTGAACATTCTTCTTCGGCTGTGTCACATTGCCAACGGGGTTTTTTCCCTCCACTCATACTTATTGCAATATTTTCGACGAGAATGTCAAGATAAAATTAAACAGTGGCCAAACTACACGGTGGTTAGCTCCTTCCACAACCCTCCACGCCGGCCGCGGGCCCCGCACCGCCCTATCCTTCAAACAATGACAATACTTCCCTGCGGCGCCTGTGTTGCCAACTAGCGCGGTCGAATCTTCGCGAATTATTGAAAGCATTCTGGTTTAGCCACAGCGACAGTTTGAAGTCACCATTTTCAAGCGTTTCGGTAAGATTTTTTTGTTTTATGTGCTTAATTTGAAGTGAAACGAGTAGCAGAGGCTACTGTCTTCTATCGTGTGAAGTTGGTAAGTGGGTAGTCAACATCCGCAATCTGTTTCCTCTTATCATTTCCAGGAGGTGTCGCGGCCGCATCCTGACTTCCTCCATCTTATTGTCAGTATCCCGGCCAATCCGACACCAGCTGATGTCCACAAAATTGTGTGGTCGCTCCCTTGCCTGACACAGCGAAATGCAAATGAGGTACACATTTTTTTTTATTTTAAATGCAGAATCTACACTTTTTATATGTTTACCCATATTTCATCTTTCTTCCAGATAAAGCTGATTGGAAGTCAGGGTGTCTACCTGAGTAAAATCAAGCTGTCCAGACTGCTGGAGGAGCTGGACCGCCACAAAAATGGAGGGGTGTTTTTTAATGACCTCATGATAGCGCTGGTCGGCGAGGAGGTCCTAAAGCTGCCCTACTTAAGCTGTGTGGGGAATGACGCGGGCACCCACGTTGGCATCCCGCAGTGCATTGTTCTGGCGGCGGCAGGTAATTATTTTCAATAGTTGCAAGAGCTAATTCCCTGACATTTTACTTGAAAATGATTTTTTTGTGATTGCCACGTTCAATTGCAGGTTACACGAGATGTAAAGCGGAGAAAAAGGTCCCTCGCAACTTCACCAAAACTGTGAACAACCTGATAGGTTACCACCGTTTTAAAGGAGAACTTATTGCGTCACAAAGTGTGTCCAGGTAACTATCATATTCTGAAGTTTTTCATTAGTCTCCAGTCTACTTGAATGTAAATTTTAATGCTAGTTTCTTCTTTCCGAAGAACTGAAGCAGTCCCGGCACCGGCGCAGCAGGTCCCTCTAGACCAGGGGCACATGGTGCAGGTGGCGCAGGTCCACCACCCCGTGGTGGGACCAAATAACGCCGCGGCCACAGGCCCCCAGCAGCACCACCTTCAAGAACAGCAGGTGTACCATCAGCTGCAGCAAGAAATGCCGCAACCCACACCACCGGGTACTGAAGATGACTACCCCTTTGCAACTGCGTTCACACGTACGTTGTAAAGAGCTACTTATGTTTGTTTGACCTAGTCACCAATGTTTTGTATTTTTTTTTTTTGTAATTTTGTAATTCTACAAAAAACGAAATTGTACGTGATATGTTTTTGAGGTGAAAAAATAATTTTTATTTAGTCGACCAAAATAACTACTTTTCAAGGTGCAAACTTTTCTTTTTTCCTTCCGTTATTAAAACATAAACATTGATATTTTACCTGTTCACAGTTTGGTTACTGTTTGCTTTAAGATGGTTGTGGAGTCAAAAATGTATGTGTCAATACCTCCTAATAACAATGAACTCGAGTAGAACAAAATGTGGATATTCTTTCAATTTTAATCCCTCAACCCACTGAGCCCAAGGGGAGTAGTTTCGCACCACTTTTTAA